TTGGCACCGCAATCTCTTATGCTGACACCCCTGAAAATGCAACTCAGCCCTGACCCCTGGAGCCCTTCAGTGCCCTGTGTCAAGTCAGAGCGGCGAGGCAAGCCCAGCTCACAAGGACAGAAGGCAAAAGAGGGTTTCCACCAGGATCCTTCCCCTCCCACACAGCCCCATCCAGCCAGTCCCAGGGGGATGGAGACAAGGCTGACCAAAAGCAGAGGCCGATCCAGCCAGCAGTTCGACTGCCCGAGGCACCCAGTGACCCCCAGGAAACTGTTGGGAAGTCCATGCTGTTCCTTACAGACTTCCAGTCTATGTCATGCCCCTCAAAAGAGAAGAAAGAACAGAACAGAAGGGAAGAGGGGAGCTATTCAGCAAGGACAGAGGCCAAGGTGGGGAATCCCTGTTCCCCTCAGGTCTTGGGGCATGAAGTTTGCACTCCTTGACGCTACCCGAAGTTCACGACACCCTGTGTCCCCAGGGAAATTGCCTAGAGAGGTGTTTCAGAGCTCAAAAGTGGGCAGAATCAGTCCAATGCATAACTTGCATTCTTCACACCTACTAGCAAGTGGGCAGGGAGTCACCGCACGAGATAGAGGCAACCTGCGCCTCTTGGCGGCTGGTCAGAAAACCTACAGACCGTAACAGCTTCTCTCCCATGATGTACCCTAAGTGATTAAAACAGCTGGAGGACAGGAGAGTCCAATGAAGAAGTTATCACCCTCATGCCACAAATTGCTCCCATCACCTCTGAGAAATTCTCATTTGCATGGGTCAAGGCAAGCCGGCCTGTGGTAGTTAGTGGAGCTCCCCATTAGCTTTGTGTAATTATTCTTTTAAAGGTTAAGCCCAGGAAAGCAGAGCGTTAATTATGCATCGCACTGGAGTTTGGGAGAACTTTAAACGGGCTCAGATGAACCCGTATGAGCCAAAGACGGCTCCCGCAGCAGCGACTGAGATTCTGCATTGTCCGGGAAATGCAGTTTTGCTCCGAGATCAGCACGGGGAAAAGCTACGGCTGTGACAAGAGCTCTCACCAGCCCACCCACAACAACATAACAAATGGGCCGCAAGCCATTTCTAAAGCGAAATAGTTCAATAAGCCCACACCAGTGTTTTATTTTTCAATATTTTCAGTGTATGAGGTTGCAAGTTCGCAGAGTAATTCAGGAGGGGGAAGCTGTTCAAGACCTGGGTAAAATTACTGTCAAACAAACAAAAAGTTATTTCTAGCCATTGCTACTCACTGGTTTGCAGCCAGTCGGGTGCAGCTCTTCCTTTCAGTACAGTCTTAACCTGACTCCATCTTTCTGTCCCTGGAGCAGCAATCAGATCTCTGCTAGGACAGACTCAGTCAGGATCAGCTTGTTCAGAAACTCTCTCAAATCTCCACGTCCTTCCCACTTCAGGTGGCTGTGCTGGCTGACAGTCCCCAGATCACGCCAAATACAACTGAGGACCTTGTGGACATATTTTGAATACCGAGCAACTCCCCTGCTACTAACACACAGCAGCCACTTGAGCTCTCAGCATGTGCAGTGGGTTAATGCAGGTCCTTTTGGGCAACAGGTGACTCCTATTGTGTTAATTTTAATGAGATAAATGAGCCCAAGAGTCAGGTGTTGGGCTGACTCAATTGCTAATGAGTCAAGCAAGGCTGAGGTTTCAAGGACGGAGACCTTGGCCTGCTTAGTTCTGTAACAAACACTTGCCACTGAACATTTAAAAAACAATCTTTTATTAAAATCACAGCAAAAAGGGAAAATAAAACCAAAAAGCTTTGAAATGCAAAGCATTTAAGTAAGGCTTTTCTGTTTATACCATTCCCCTCTTCCCTTTCCCTTTAGCTGAGGAGAGTTTCATAAGGTAACACCACTTTGGCAGTCCTGTACAGAGTATCACCGGCGGTGTTAACTATCCTTGGGGGGCAGGGGGGAAGAGAACATGTTCATGTAGGCTGGCAGGAGCTGCTGTGGTTTGAATATAATCCCATTCTCCTGAGGACAAAAGATACAACACACGATGAGGAGAGGGGGGAAGAAAAATCAACAGAGATCGAAGCAGCATCTGTGGTTTTGAAGACTGACTCGCCGCCTTGGAATTAGAGACAAGACCACACGCTGTTCCTGCAGCTGCTGAGACCTGGCACGCTCGTAGCAGTGCCAGGCTGCTTAAGACCTTGCTTTTGGATGGTGAACCTTTTTGGTCGCAGGCTCACAGCGGTGCTGCAGAAGATGGGATTGTTAAGCAGAAAGAAGTAGAGAGAGCTAGCGAAGAAGAGAAATAAGGTGGGGAATGAAAAGAGGATGGAAGGGAGCTGGAGGCAGAAAGGACCGAGTCTCCTATTCCAGGCAGTGTTGGGGAGATAGCTGAAACTGCTGGAGGTGGCCAAGTCACCTAGCTCCATTCTTCTGGTTTGGCCTGGTCAGGATTTGTCTTACCATCAGGGCAATAGATCTGTTGCTTTCCACCCCTACCCCAGACATGATCTCAGCACAGGCCTTGGGGGACATCCGTGGGCCTTTTGTTTGGTCTAATCTGGTGGGTTTCTCTTGGACTTTTCCTGGCTCGTGTAATGGTCACGTCACGTGCTCAGTTGGAGTCTCATTACCTTGCACAGCCGTGAGCCCATGCAGTGCTTTGAGAAAGGGCCTCTCCCTCTCTCCGTGTGTAGTTGGCAACCGTCGATCCTTCTGGATCATGGTGTATGCACGAGAGGTCACCAGGACCTTTGATGCGTGCTACACCTAGGTCGGAGTATGGAGGAGCGGAGGCTGCCCAGACCGTCCATCCCCGCTTTAGGGCACTGAGACAAAATCCAAAGGCCAGACCCAGTTCGGACGTTCGGTGCCTCGAGGGCTGCAGTTACGTGTGCATCCAGGAGCCAAACCCAGGTCTCCCACGTGACAGGTGAGGAGTCTACCACTGAACCACAACAGTGGGTCCCTCCATGAGTAATACAACCATAACAGCATTTCCCAGCTTGGGAATTGTAGGCAATTCTGTTTTTCCTCCCATTTCTCCTCTCTCATTTCTCATCTTTTTTACTGGGTTTTTTCCTTCCTTTTTACCACAGCTATTATTCTGTTCCTTTTACCTATTCCTCCTCTTACTGCACCTTCCCCCTCTCTATCCCCGTGCTTTAAGTGAGGCTCTAATGGTGAACAGACCTAGTTCTCACCCTTGGGGTTGTCACTGGCAAATGGGTTGGGCCTCAGTTTACCCTTCTGTCTCGGAGGAGTGTAGGCCGGGGAGTCGTTGCAGAGGTCACTGGAGGCAGGTACAAGTACAGTGTTACCGTTCACCTCACCTGCATTTTCCAGAGGGGAATCAGACTCCAAAAGACTTCTTCACCCATTGTATTTCCAGAGACATGTACTTTCCCCTCTGCTTCCCTCGTGTTTGCCAAGCTTCTGCAGATCCTGCGTGACTGGAGTTTCCTGGGTGGGGGTGCTGCTGTTTGAGAAGGGGAACAGTCTGATCATCTTCCCTCTGTTTGAACCCTCTGGGTGTGAAAAGTGCAAAGTTAGAAGTGACTTCACACGAGCAGGACGCAGGAATGTGGCTGAGGAGCACAGGACAATGATGCCATCCCAAGGGCCTTCCTCTGATGGGAACCAAGGCCAGTGAGAACTGAAGGAAGGGCGGATGACATGGGATTAAGGAGCCTGGGGTTTGGACCATTATGCTCCTGGCAGAAGGAGATGGGGCGGTCTGTCTGTGCTCCCAGGGCCTTGCAGTGTGATTGCAATATTAGGGTTCCGGCTTGCACCCCTTTCGGCAAAGTCACGTCCATCCCTACCGACTCCTTTGACTTTGCCAGCGGCAATTTTGCCTGAGTAAGGATTGCAGTCTGGGGCCCCATTCTTTTCATCTGAATCTCTGCATCCTGAGTATGGACAAAAGAAAGCCAAGCACAGATGTCCAAATGTCAGACTAGAATATGGCTCTTATTGTCCTAAACTGATGCAATTATTCCTGCTTAGCTATGCTTTGGGCACCAGTCCTGGCGCTGGCTGGTGGGAGACTACCCTGAAACAAGGCACCACCGATACAAGCCGGGTAGTTGTGGGTGAAAGTTAGAGCACAGACATGGAAGGCATGCTAAGATTTCATTTGGCCCCATCCTGGCGGAGGGATAGGGAGAAAGGTTGTTCCCCTGCCCTGCCTGGACGGAAAACCAGAAGTCTCGACAATCCTCAGATTGGTACCTTTGCTTTCGAGTCAGGCCAGCCCAAAGCAAGCGTCTCTGAGGGGCACAGGTGCACTGCACAAATACTGGAAAGGCCTGCCCACAAACCAACCGGGGACAATTTATTTGCACCACACACATTTCCAAAGCGAGCTGCCCCATTATGGCACTTCCCAGGGAACAAAACAGTCACACAACGGCAGTCACCGCAAGGTAACATTTATGCACATTTAACACTGGATGGATGTAGCAGCAGGTGAGTTTGAGTCTGTGGAGCTGGGGAGGAGGCTGCGTGGGGAGACGAGGGAAAAAAACCTTAAATGTCCCGTCCCATTTTGGTCTGGACAATCAGACCCATGAGAATTATAGCCTGATTCTGTAAAGACCTGCACTACTGAGTAACTTGAATCACGGACATAACCCAGCAGGACTCGAAGGAAAAACCGCTGCCTGGAAAACCGAGCCCTTCCTCTACGGTTTTCAGAAGCTACTAGATGTCCTCCGGAAAAGCAGCTGTTGGCAGATGCCCGATCCTAGGATCGCTGCAACGGCTTCTCAATCTCACCCGGCCCCAGAGCAGCATGAAACCGTCAAGGAGGAAACAGCCCCAATGAAACACCCAGGGTACAAAGGCTTCCCAGCCTCCGCACAACCGCTGGATGAGCAGGACGCAGGCCTCTCCGAACCCCTCCGGTCATCCCGGGCGTGCTTGGTAACCAGACCCAGAACATGAGGGTACCTGTGAGTGCACTTACAAAGCCAGGGCGTTACCCCTATCTGTGAAAGTAGCAGGTGTGCTACTGGTGTGTGGTCCATCCTGACTGAGTTCAGGAGATGCAAAGGACTCGATAACACATGGGCAACTATTGTGGGGTGGAAAACGAGTGTCCTTGGCCATCTCCACAATGCAATGCCCTCAGTTCCTTTCCTCCTCTGGGATGATTCCCCTTAGCAAACTGTGTGGACGGTCGTCCCGTTGGACCCACCCGAAGCTGCCCCACCGTTTGCAACGTAGTCTTTGACATTCACCTCAGAACTGGAGATGGGCTTGTGCCTCTCCTGCCCGGTGAACACGGTTTCAATTCCTCTCAGACACATCTTCATGTCCTCCCGGAAGGAAGGGGTATAGAGCCCGTAGATCACGGGGTCGGTGCACGTGTGCAGCAAGCCGAAGAGGAAGAGGCTGTGGTTGATGTACTCTGGCATCCTCTGAATCATGTCTGGCTGAAACCAGTACCACAAGCCTAGGAGGTAATAAGGGGTCCAGCAGATAATGAAGGTGGCGACGATCACAATGGTCATCTTGAGAGTCTTCATTCGCGCCTTGGAGATGTGGTCGTCTTTGCTTCTTGCCAGACCTGTCAGGAGGAGTCAATGGAGTATTTATATATGCAGAAAACCAAGAAGAGACCAACATTCACGACCATGCTTGCATCAGAGCTGGGCTGCAAGGCAATGGCTCTGATCCCAACAGAGCTGGGCGCTCGCAGGAAGAATTGCGGCGGACCTCTCGTTGCCTGGTGCCACTTGAAGGTCAAGGCGGGAAGGGGGATGTGCAATGGCCTCTTGTGGGACATGGGGGACAGCCCCACCATTCAGGCCAGTCCTGGAAAATTCGGGACAGCTGCTCCCTTCGGCTCAGTTCTGGCCCTCCCCATCTAGGCATATTCCCCCTCCAAGCACTTCTGTCCCTGGGATGGACAGAAACAGGTGGCAGCCCGCAAGACCAGCACCCTTCACCAGTAGGGGCCTATTTAAATCATGGCGAGACAAAGGGATTTTTGTGTCCCACTCGTGCCACACGGAGCCGATTTCACGGGTATTTTATGCAGCCCCTCCCCTTGGCGTTGATTGGCAGATAGGCCCCACCCTTCCGTGCTGATTGGTAGGAAGGATGTGGGGAGCGGAGTGAGGGACAAAGGGGGGGCTGCTGTTTTGATTGCTGGCTGCCCTTCGTTTCGCTCCACCATCCAGCGCCTTCCCCTCCCGGCAGTGAATACCGCTGGCTCCCACTGCGGAGCCAGCATTTTATTTTTATTAAGTTTTTTTGTCTGATTTTGCAGACAGTCCTGGATTGCATGCAAAACGCGTGAATTAAGCAGATCCATATTACTCATCATACATTACAGCCTGGCCATACACAGCCAGGAACAGTTATGGAGATGCTGTTTTTTCTCATCACCTTGTGCAGCCTTCCCACATCTCGAAGGCCCGGGGGCTGCCTGCCTCACACCCTTGCCCCATGGTCCAAGCCAGAGGAGGGAGATGTTTTATAGTCTAAGCCCTCTTCTTTACCTCCTGTATCATATCCCATCCCCCAGCACCCTGACGTTTGCCATTTTCTGACACGTCCCCCATAACGTGGTCGCTGAGCCTTGTACAGCCTCAGAGATGTCAGGCAATTAGGTTAATTAGACAAGCTAATTCTGTGACATCTGAAGGCTTGGGCAGTGGAAATGACAGAGCATTAAAGGGTGCCCATAAGATCCTGGGGAGGAGCGCCGAACGCTAGGTAAATGCCCCCTGCTCACCCTTGTTGATCTTCAGCTGCTTGCTGATTTCCCATATGATGCGGATGTAGCACACGATGATGACGCTCAGTGGGGTGACGTAGAGGGTGGTGAAGGTGAACATGTTGTAGGCCGTTTCTTCCCAGTGTTCCCGGAAGCTCCCGTGGGTCACGCACTGGGTGAAGTTGACCCCGGGGACGGTGTGCAGGTGGAAAAGAAAAAGCTGAAACCAAGCATGAGACAAGGATTCAGAGATCTGCGTCGCGGGGACACGATCCAAATGGAAATGGGCTTACCTGTGGAACCAAGAGCGCCCTCCTTCAATCATGCTGCCTGGATAGCATTTTTAAGGAGGCCTAGTTGGGTACAGGATCCGCTGGGTTGGGAGTAGCAATCCCTACTGGGGTCCCCTGGCCTACCATGGCTAACAACAGAGGAGTCGTAGGGAAGGGCAAGAACCCCATGGCGGGCAGACCTAGGATAACGTGACTCCACGGTGACTCTCAGCTTGGTCTCTAGAAACAGCCCGAAGCCTGGAGACGTGAGGCTGCATATTGACCATGCTTGGTATCGGGCATGCTGTTTGCTTGCTCAGCGCCTTGCTCAGCTAGGAATTTAAACTAGACTGGTCTGTCAGAGCTGATTCCAGTGTCAGGGAGGTATGCGCTAGGACAACGCGGTGACATCTAGGCTGCGTTGAGTGCCAGGAGAAAGCAGACTGCGTCAGAATTAAGACTAACTGTTAGCATAATTTCCTCCAGTGGCTCGACAGCCAAACCCGGGCATTGTTTTAATTATTTCTCGCTATGTGCCAGAAGACAAAATTGTATTGTGTGCTGAATATTAACAAAAATGTTAATGATTCCCACAGCAGATTCTTAGAAATACAACTGTGATAAAGTCTCTGATGCAAGGCAGGCTTTTCTGAGCTTTTTGAGAATGACAGTATTGTCCTCCAGGAAGAAAATTATTCCACCAACAAAAATTGACTTGGTTTATTAAGAAACATAGCCCTGAACAAGCTCTTCAGCGGATTTTTTTAAACACAGTGGTAGATGGATAGATTCAGTAGGTGGCCAAGGAGTGATTTATCCTTGTCAGAAACTTGGAATACACTCATATCGCTACAGCACTGTAGAGCAGGGACATGGGGCTGGAAAATGATCTCTGGGGTCACCACATCCAGTCCTCCAGTACTGGAGACAGGAGGGGATATTGCAGTCTAGCTAGAAACCCATCACCTTCTCCATCTGTCTTATGCTAGTGATTATTTCCTCCTGGGTTTTCAATTTTCAATGACCATACTGATAGGACGACTGAACTGAGAAGAGGAGCCGCTTCAAGCGGTGGCAGAAGCCGAGGAAAGAAGAGGCCGACAGTTCATTCTGGCCTTTTGGATCCAGTCTAGTCTACAGCATCTGCAGTAATAGTGCTTGTAGCTGTTCGCCAAGCTGGCTGTAGCCCAGTACAACTATAGCATGGCCTATAACTAGATCTGGGAACCAAATAACTCTACAGATACCTGGAACAGCAATCTGTAGAGCTGGCCTTGCTGGGCTTTTCCTACCCAAACTTTTCACTGCTGTTACTGGCATTTAATTTCTCCGGGTAACATTTGGGAGTTTAAGGGCTTCGGGGAGCTGACAGTATTTGAATGACCACACTGTTTGAATACGTGCTGGAGCAGGTCTCCCCAACATGATGGCTTAAGGTTATCATTGACATCTTGTCCACAAAAGTGCATCCAGTGCTGCTAGCCCCAGTGGCAATAATTGTGGGAAATAATTGGCCAAATAGCCCAGTGCTGGCAAGACTGATCATGCAATCTGAGGCAGCAGGGTATTACAAATATAATCCCTGCGCCCACTGGATGGGGGAATTGGGATTGGTTTGATGGGGGTGCTCAAGGGCAGGGTCTTCGGTGCCTCAGGCTTGTTCCAGGTGCAGAAGAAGGAGGGAAGGAGTTGTGCCGATGGAAAATGGTAGAGACAGAGACTCTCCTTTTGCTTCCCTTCACCCAGTCCCTCAGCATTAAGTGATGCCACTCCCAGCAGTTGCCTTCGAACAGTGGGCGCGGACACACAACACTACCATGGAGCCACCCCACTACTCCAGAGGAGAAGCGGAGCAGGCACATAACGCCTTAAATGGGTTTAAGTCACCCCACGGTGGGGTGAAGTCAACCCTCAGCAAGTGAGGAGTGACTATACACCAGTATAAGTTACACCAGCGTACTGGCCGTGTGTCTGCTCTCGTTGGCAACGTCACATCGAGGCAGTCTTTTGCTCAATGCAAACTGATTTCCCTGTCACTCGGTGGCCCGGCACTGGCATGGCACATACAGGCGGCAGGCAGCTTGAGAGCGGCTTGTGCGTCCTTGCCTTGCTACAGTCATTTTACTCCGGAGTGAAATTCTGGGCAAATCACTCTGCAGGATGTGTGTTGTGCATCTGCTCCGTTTCAAAGGCATGTTTTACTTGCAGGTCACAAAATAATCTGCCTTCCTCAGTTAAACAAGACATTGCAGCTGCTACCAATCCTTTGATCAACCTCATCGTGCAGCTAACAACCTAAAAGCCATTGGACCAAATTCTGCTCTCAGACACATCTGTATAACCGACTGGTTTCAATGAAGAGGGTTGTCTGGCCATAAACGAATACAGAATCTGAAGTGTCTGAGCTGTGAGAGTGATTAGCTCCTGTATGACTGGGCCTTTGTATCAGTACTGAATACGCACATAGCTCGGTTAAGTGAATTTCCTTGGGCAGGGAAGAAAGGTGCAGCTGGCCACTGAGAGAGGTTTTGCAATAGCAGATCCATCCCATTGAAATCTGAGGCCAAAGCCTCAGCTGGTATAAATCACTGCAACTCCACAACATTAGGTCTGACCAAAAACCCCACAGGAAGAAGAGATTTCCATAGCAAATATATATTCCCATTTAAATTAATAGAATTCCTTAGCCAAAGCCTCCCCATGGAAAGGAGTTAATGAATTCCTATTGAAAACAGCTGACTCCAGGAGCTGACACCACCAACGCCAAGCTCAGCGGAGGTTTCAATTACCATTTCCTAACAGCTCCACACCACAGCATCACACGGTTTAACTCGCTCCTCTTCAGAAGCTGGAACAACGAAAGAGTGACAGGGAACAAGGGAGCATTGATCTGATCCTTCACACCAGCTGCCTGCGGGATGTGCTAAGCATAGAGTTTGGAGACGCTAGACTCACAAGGGGATTTGGGTCAGCAAACAGGCATACAGCATTGGAGTCACAGCCAGAAACTCAAGTTTTAGTCCTAGCTTCTAAGACCGTTTCCTCCAGGGCTCTGCGACTTCATCTCCTGCATCTCACCTTCCTTGCGTGTAAGATGAAGGTCATCCCATTCACCACTTGCACCAGGAGTGGTGAAATTAGAAGAAATAACCTCCATAACCTGCTTCATCAATCCCCACGTTCTTACGACTAACTTGAGCGTATACAGGCTGGGCTTCGTCCAGTCTGAATGCTTCCCCATGTTCTAGGATGTGTTTTTACACAGACCAAACTACAATTTTGACGGGATGATATGGTGCCACTTGCAAGATCTCATCTGTTTAGATTAAACGCTTTAACGTTCAGCAACAAGCTAAGACTGGGATTAAGGTTGGAGAGTGTTGGACAAAAGACTGATGAAATACATTATTGTAGGCAGTTTTATGACCCCCATCCCCACAGTATCCAAGCACCTCACCTTCTTTAATGGACTTAACATCATGGCACAGCTATAGGGGCATGCAAATCCTTTTATCCTTATTTTATAGTGCTCCCTGTTCCCAATTTTATCCCCATGTATGGGCATAGAGGGACTAAGTAATTTGACCAACATTACAGGGAAAGCCTGTGGCAGAGGGGATGCCAGGTTTCCCAAGCATCATCCCAGTACTCTCCCTACCACACCACCCATCCATGGCTATCAGGCAGATCAGTCACTCTGCCCAAGCTGGGAATACCCGTTAACTTACTCTGAAGCCCAGCGCTTCCCACTGTAAATGAGCACAGCTTTGGAAAGGTGTTGAATTCCTACCTGGGGTGAGGCCAGGAAAAGACTCATGACCCAAGCGACACATAGCATGAGTCTATTGCGCCGACTGGAACTGGCGAAGGTGAAGGGGTGGAGGATGGCTGAGTGCCGGTCAATGCTGATCACCACCAGCACCAGGGCTGCAGAGTACATGGCGAAGAGCTTGAGGAAGTTCAGCAATTTACACAACAAGTCCCCGGCGTACCACTGAACCGTCACGTTCCACACCGCGTCCAGGGGCATGACCGTGAAGGTCACCAGCAGATCCGCTGCCGTTAAGCTCAGGATCAGCAACTTGACATGGGACTTCCTCCGCTTCCTCAGGATGCTGTACAGAACGGCCGAGTTGCTGCACACAGCTACCAGGAAGAAGCAGATGGTGATGATCACCCGGACCCTTGCTGCTAGGGTGAAAGTGGGCTCGATCCAGGTGTCAGAGCAGCTGGAAATGGAGACGTTTTCCTCCATGGCACCAGTGGCCTGAAGAGTCGCCCGGAGGTGCTGTTCTTCAGTCATTCCCTAGAGGAGAACAAACAGCAAACTTAATCAAAGAAGCAAAATTGCTGTTGGGTACCCATTTAGAGTGGTACATGAAGAAGGAGATGGCTCAGTGAGTTGACCAAAGGATTCATAAATGTTATTGTTATTAAACAAACAACAGAAAAGCCATATACCAAAAGCCCAGTCCAATTTTTCCCAGTTTCCACAGCATGGAGCACCTCTTCATAGATGGATCATCTTGGCAGGTCCTTGTCCCCTTCCATTGACAACTGCACAGACTGTGTTTTCCTCTCCTTCACAACCGCACATCATCCCGGTGGTAACTATAGCAATCGCCCACATGGTTGTGTATTTTTAGTGTTTTTCAATGTAATTCCACCATTGGGAACAAGGGGGAGTAGCCACTACCATCTGACTGGCCAACTGTGCAGCTCATGCCCCACACACCTGCGTGGATGGACTTAATGGACCTTAGACCACTATTACAGCCACTCTGTCCCAAAGAGAGCTGCAACTGGACCCAAAATACCCTAGAGCCAGGGTCTGCTACTGGCTGAAGTGGATAGATGTATTGAGTTTTAAGATATTTTACTGGTAAGAATGGTCTTTCTGGTAGGACTTAAAAAAATGGGGCGCCTGACTATCTTCTATAATCTTTAAAGACGATGTGGTAGTTCTAGGTACAGCAGGGATGTTAAACTAAGAGTCCTTGAGAAGTCTTCCCTCTCCTGGTGTTGAGCAGTGCTTTTGGGTCTGTGGTTTCTGGAAACAGGAACTACTTGTTGCACCATGGTATGGGGGGATAGGTGGAGAAGAGGCCATTCCTCAACCAAATGGCCCCAAGAGAGCTCCAAGAAGAGGAGCTAAGGAGTCTTCCTTCCTTTCCAGACCAAAATAGCTACATACATGCACCATGAAGGTGCGATACCTCAATCATGTCCACATGGCTCTTTCAGATACGAGTAATAATACAGTGGCTCAACTGCAAGGACTCAGCCTTCACCATGGAGAACAAGCAGGAGGAACATGCACTCCTGCTTGCAAGCAACAACTTCAACCTGGTTGAATTAACTGAAACCTGGCGGGACCCTACTCACGATTGGGCAGTGGGCATTGAGGGCTACAGGTTGTACAGATAGGATATAGTGGGGAAAAAAGGGGGCGGTGTTGCTCTCTATGTTAAAGAACAATATACATCCTCTATAATCAAGATGGGATCAGAGGACCAAACCAAGGTCCTGTGGGTCAGGATACAAGGTGGTCCAGGGGAAAAGGACTTGGTGGTGGGGGTCTATTACAGACCGCCACACCAGGAGGATGAGCTGGACCTGGAATTCTCCAGGCAGCTCTCAGAGGCCATACGGTCGTGAGATATGGCTGTCATGGGTGACCTAAACTACCCAGACATCTGCTGGGAGGAGCAGCCAGGCAAATCTAACCGCTCACATAGGTTCTTAACCTGCCTATAGGACCCCCAGCTACCGCAGGAGGGATACGGTCCCACTAGGGGAAACGCCTTGCTGGACTTGGTGTTAGCTACAGGGGAGGACCTGGTGGAGGATCTGCAGGTACAAGGTAACCTAGGGTATAGTGACCATCGGTGGATTGAATTCACTATCCGGTGCAGGGTGGGTAAATTAACCAGCAGGGCTGAAGTGCTAGACTTCAGAAAGGCGAACTTCAATGTGCTCAGGAGATTAGTTATTGAGGCGTTAAAACTCATGAGCATTGGTGAAATGGGGGTCCAGGAAGGGTGGTCATTCCTCAAGGGAACGATCCTATGGGTGCAGAAGGAGACAATCCCATTGCACATAAAAGGGGGCAAAGGGGCCAAGAAGCCCTCTTGGCTGAACAGGGAAGTCCAGGAAAGCCTAAGAGCAAAGCGAGAGGGATACAGGCTGTGGAAATTGGGGGTGGCTACCAAACAGGAGTATACCTCCCTGGCTCACACTTGCAGGGAATCAGTTAGGAAAGCCAAAGCAGGATTAGCACTTAGGCTGGCAACAAAAAATAAGGACAACAAAAAGTCCTTCTTCAGGTATATAGGGAGCAAAAGGGAGGTGCAGGATAGCATAGGACCCCAACAGGACAAACTATGGCATTGGTGACAGAGGGGGGACAAAACTGAGCTCTTCAATGAGTTCTTTGCATCTGTATTCCTAGACACAGACCAAGACAAATCTCCCAATTGGATCATAGATAGACACAGGAGGGACACCAGCCCACCAACTGTTAGCACCGACTTAGTGAAGGGGCTCTTGGAGGGGCTGGTTGGGTTCAAATCAGCGGGCCTGGATGAACTTCATCCAAGGGTGCTGAAGGAACTGGCCAGTGTCATAGCAGAGCCACTGGCACGGCTGTTTGAGCACTCGTGGTGCTCCAGTCAGGTCCCAGAGGACTGGAAAAGGGCCAACGTGGTCCCCATTTTCAAGAAGGGGAGGAGGGAGGAACCAGGAAACTATAGGTGAGTTAGTCTCCCCTCTATCCTTGGGAAACCTCTCAAAAAAATCATTAAGGATCACATTTGTGGGAGCCCAGCAGGGGAAATAATGCTAAAAGGAAATCAGCACAGGCTCATCGCAGATAGATCCTGCCTGAATAACCTTGTTTCTTTTTATGACCAGGTCACAAAATGTCTAGGTGCATGAGTCGAGGTAGATGTCATCTACCTAGACTTTAAGAAGGTCTTCGATATGGTATCGCATCCTGTTCTCATAAGTAAACCGGCAGGCGGTGATGTAGATGATTACATGGTCTGATGGGTGGCAATTGGCTTAGGGGTCGCATCCAGAGAGTGGTGGTGGACGGGTTGGTATCAAGCTGAAAAGATGTTGGCAGTGGAGTCCCGCAAGGCTCGGTCCTTGGACCGGTGCTATTCAATGTCTTCATCAGTGACTTGGACAAAGGCATGGAGGGTACCCTGTCCAAGTTCACAGATGATACTAACTTATGGGGCAAAGTTAACACACCAGAGGGCAAGGAACGGATCCAGGTGGAACTGGATAGATTGGAAAAATGGGCAGAACAAAATGGGATGCAGTTCAACAAAGACAAGTGCAAAGTGCTGCACCTGGGGAGAAGGAGTCTCCAACACACTGACAGGCTGGGGGACGACCTTCTCAGCAGCACAGCAGTGGAAAGGGATCTTGGAGTCATAGTTGTTGACTCCAAGATGAACACGAGTCGTCAATGTGACGAAGTGATCAACAAGGCTAACCGCACTTTATCGTGCATTAGCAGGTGCATGGCAAACAGGTCCAGGGAGGTGATGCTTCCCCTCTATGCAGCACTGGTCAAGCCGCAGTTGGAGTACTGCGTCCAGTTTTGGGTGCCGCACTTCAAGAGGGATGTGGACATCCTCAAGATGGTTCAGAGGATGCCACTCGTATGGTTAGGGGGCTGCAGGCAAGGTCCTACGAGGAGAGACTGAGGGACCTAGATCTCTTCAGCCTTCACAAGAGAAGGCTGAGAGGGGATCTTGTGGCCACCTACAAATTCATCAGGGGAGGGCAGCAGGGGACTAGGAGATGCTCTATTTACTAGGGCACCCCTGGAGTAACTAGGAACAATGGCCACAAACTGACGGAGAGCAGATTTAGGTTGGACATTAGAAAAAACTTCTTCATGGTAAAGGGTGCCAGAATCTGGAATGGGCGTCCAAGGGAGGTGGTGCTCGCCCCTACCTTGGGGGTCTTCAAGAGGAGACTGGACACACACCTAGCTGGGGTTGTCTGACCCCAGTACTCTTTCCTACCCAGGGCAGGGGGTCTGATTCAATGACCTACTGAGGTCCCTTCTGACCCAAACATCTATGAATCTATGTCCACAGAAATGCCTAACAAACAGAGCCAAGGACCTATTTCAAGATGGTCATTTGCAGCTAGTGATTCCCATTGAACAAGAGCATTGAGATGGGTTAACCCAATGAAGACAACACTCACAAGAGTTAAACACAGCAGTCCACTTTTGAGACGAACCCCTGCAGCTAGCTGACATTGCACCAGGAATTCATTGGGTCCAAGGTGTACTTTGAAAACTGATCCAAATACAGTTCCTGCTCAGGGGAGATGGAGCTTTGATCTGAGTCCTCTGAACTCTGTATGGTCCACTAAAATGGGGCCTTGTGCTGAAC